GAGCAAAAACAAATACTTAACAAGGCTAAAAGTAGTATTTTAAAAAGTAAATCAATATATAAAAGTATCGAGCTGGAAACGTTAACAAATTGTAAAGTAATAAAGTGTTAACTGCACATAATACGTTTATAAAGAAGTGGTATTGCACACACTTTTATATTGACAGGAACTGTTATTGCACACAAGTATTTGTTGATGTGGTCCTTTCATAAAAACATGACAAATTATTTTTTCTGCAGTTCTTACTTGGAGTTGGTGCAACTTCAGCTGAAATACTGTCATCTGAATTGCTTTCAGCGGAATCATTTTCATCTGGAATACTTTCAGGTGAATCGCTTTCAGCTGAATCACTTTCAGCTGGAATGCTTTCAGCTGAAATGCTTTCAGCTGAATCATTTTCATCTGGAATACTTTCAGCTGAAATACTTTCAGGTGAATCACTTTCAGCTGAATCACTTTCAGCTAAATCACTTTCAGGTGAGTCCTTTCTAGCTGGGGCCCCAGGAAGCAGCACCAGCAGCAGCAGAGCCACAGAGAGGAAAGCAGGGTTCATCATTCTGACGTCGGACTAAACCTTAGAAATAATTCAAATATCATTACAAATGCCAAGATTTTTCCCAAAAACAGAAACAACTTGTGTCAAACAGTCAAAACTATCTCTACTGTAACATACCTGTAGGAGTTCTCTGAATCTTTCTGAAGAAGCTCCTGCTTAGTCGTGATGGAGGGACTCCTGGTCAGTATCATTTATAGTTCTCTTCCACACCTCCCATTATACTGAAGCAACCAATCACCACCTATCAGGCTGATATCCAGCTGAGTCATTATACATTTCAAAATGTTCTCACAGCCACGAGACAATATGTAAAATCATGAACAATAGCCACATTCAGCGACAGTGACACGTCATCAGGAAATAAAAATCACTTCCTTGTTTGTTGAAAACAGTGATGTGTACGTGTGTGTGAACCAGTTTATGATCATTGCAGAAATGTATCATTAAGTCTCATTTAAGTATCACTGTAACTTCCTTCTCTGGTTTGATTTTCCCAGTTTGAATTCACATCTCGCTTCTAAATATTCACTTCCCATTGTTAGGATTGATATTAGGGTTGTAATTACCATGTATGCAAGTTGTGCCCGCCTGGCCAACATTTCTATAGCCTGTACTTTTAATTGCCTAAGCAGTATTACCTGTCTGGACAACACTTCACTAGCCTGTAATAGCCAAAACTTTGTTTCAAACTTCTATTATTTGTTCATTTCTTACCAAAGAGGTTGCTTTTGTGTGGAAGTTCCTCCACAATGATCAGTTCAGAATCAGAAACAGGTTTATTTTCAAGTAGTTTAACACCACACATACAAGGAATTTATAAATTTTTTGGAAAACTATAAACAGATTTAAATGTAGCAATATTTACATTGAATATGGATAAAGTATAGGTATACCCGTAAACATTTAATTTAATAAAATAAAATAATTGCAGCAACAATGTGCGTTGTGCAGAATTCTGAGGGTTGGAAAGGACTGACAGTATTAGGATGAACAAGATATTGTTAACATTGTGTGCATTAATGTAATGCATAGAGTCTGCATTGTGGCTGACGTCAAGTGTCAGTGGGGGGGCCGGGCCTTGTTGATGAGGCCGGTAGCGGAGGGGAAGAAACTGTTCAGGTGGCAAGAGGTTTTTTGCCCTTCCTATATGTTCACATATGGAAATAAAACACAAATAGAAATATAATGTCTTTGATAATTCGCTATAACTAAGTTCTAAATGTGTCCTCTGTTAAGATTTTGAATTAAGACCAGAATTGAATAAATTAATACATTATTTCTGATAAAAGTATGTGAAATTATATCTCTAGCAATATTTTAAACTCTACTTGTATCTTATCAGTTAATTAGTTACAACAATTCATTTAACTCTTCTCTGGTTCTGGCAGAAACAGTTCTTTCTGAAATGTGTTGGGACACTTGGATGTATCCCTTTTAGTATGATAATTAGCCTGTTATTATTAGCCAGACAGCATTGTGTGACTTGTTGAACTGGTTTACCTGCATGTGTGGGTGTAGGTATTCCTTTTATTATGATAAAAGACTAAGCCAGAAATGGCTGGAGTCCGTATGTATTGGGAGACAGACACACGGTACCCCCCTGTTTCTGATGTGGGGGCACGCTACAGATTCCAATATCTTTTGACATCATTGCTGTGGCGTTTGGATTCTTGGACCCCAAAGCAGAGACAGACACAAGTAAAGTTCAAGGTGTTTAATTAATAATACTAGGCCATGGCAGGTACTGTCGACAGGGAGCTGGTTGGCAGCAGAAAGGTTCAAAAACAAACAGAAGGAAAACGTTCCTGGCCAAAAACTCAATAAGTTGCACAAAAACTGCAAAGAGAAACAAAAACGATAGTTACGGCTGTAACTACGGTTCTATGAGTCCTGTATGACCGCCAGAGGCGGTGCTTTAGCACTGGATATGTCCATCGCACACATGCGCAGTTCGAGTACCTAATAACAAAAAAGTCACCTGTGACCCATGTGACGACGGCTACATAGGCCGGCGTCATTAGCGGATCGGCTCCCAGAATCTTCTAGCGGGCACACAAGAATTCTGAGTGACAGGATACTCTGGCGGTCATCCGGGACTCATAGAACCGTAGTTACAGCCGTAACTATCATTCTATTTCGTCCCT